TAATCAGTTTAATGTGTTAAAGTATCCACAACATTCGGATTTTGAGAAACTTCTTAGAATTCCAAACTGAGGGACAACAAATTGACTTGAACGAAAACTCAAAAACAGTAAACAACTCCATAAAAACAGAACAACAAAGGATGCCCGAGAAAAATTGACCACGTCAGTTTCCAATGGCAAGGTTAAAGTTCTTTGACCTGATTGACTAACTTGTAAAATCATGTGCGCTGCGCGTGAAAACAAAAATAATACAACAGGGAAGACGAAAATTGTAATTTAAAATTCAAAAAAGGAAAGCCGTTTTCTCCAATCTGATTGTTACCCAATCCCCACAGGAAGATTTTCTCTGGATTTAAGAATAAAGTCGTACATCTTAAGCATTGTTGCCATGACGTAAAATTCTCTCGTATTTACAATTTTTCTCCGCACTTTTGGAAAGGGACGCTAACTCGCTGAGGACCTAACAAATAACAATAACTTGAACTCCTTAGGCAAAACTTTCCATGAAAAATAAATAGGCACTGGGTCGAGGGGGCTGAGATTTTTGCAGCGGAAAAGAGCAAAGCCAAAAAATGGGGAGAACAGCTACCCCTGGTGTCGGACTGAGAAAAGAATACTGTAGCATGTCTACACATCCTTTGAAAGCTTTCATAAAGTCGCTCAGAGTTCGAAGAAACAGTTCTTAAAGCATCTTGTCGAGTGGCCCATTTTCTTTTAATTCAGGATATATATTCATTGTATGCAAAAAGTCCAAACCGATCATTATCTCTCATGATTGCTTGTCTTAGGGGAAACACCCCATAAAAGGTGTTCTTTTGACTTGTTTTGAAACTTAGTGGGATTATTAGGATAGAAATCACATTTCTGTTAAAGCATCCTATGTATCCAAAAGAATCCATCAAATGTTAACTTATGAATGTCTCACTTACAGTTCAGTCAACTCGGAGTTGTTATTGAAGACTCCAGCTGGTAGCCTCTTGATTTGATTTCCAGATAAGTATCTAAGAAATGAACAAAACTGAACCTAAGATTGCTCCTTAGTGGATAATCATGATTCCTACAGTGAGTCTATGTTATTTGCCATTTTGAGAATTTTTTTTTCTGTTTGTTCAAATTGGGTTACATAAACTTACGGGCTCTCTGCTAACGGGAGATTTTGTTATTATTATTATTGTTTTTTTTTTTTTTTTTTTTCTTGTCGCGACCTTCTGTACAAAGGAGGAGGGATAGCTGTTGGAAACAAGAACTGATGACAAATGTTTCTTTTTCCTCGGAGATGACTGACGGTTTTTACACAAGGCACTTCGCCCACTCATTCAATACCGGGCTCCACTGATCAAGCGTGGTGTGAATCATACCCAAAGTACTAGTCAGTGTGATTTGGTATTCTGTAGACACTGCATGGTGTTCAGGCGTCTCTCTGGTTCCTTCGTAACTGACATGTCAAGAAAGGCGGTCTTAGAGTGAGTCTATGTTGTCTGTCCTTTTCAACATTTTTTTGTTTTAATGGGGTTAGATAAACTAAACTAGGAATGAGTTTAAAATACCATCTTAAAAGTGTCGTGAAGTCCCCTTATATCGTTGCTTAGCTTTTCCCTCTGGATAAAAAGGGGAAGATGCATTTTTCCTCCTTATGATGGCTTATCTTTTACTCTGCCAAAGATATTTGGCTGAGCATTTCTTAAAACCTAGGAAAATATCTGCACGTTTGATACGTTTAGAAAGATATGGTCTATGATATGTTGTGCGTGATGTTGTAAACCAGTTATGTCTAAGGCTTGATTTGTACTAGCTCTAATAGTTTAGGTCATCAATTATAATCACATCGCCATCGGCTTCTGTCTCACGCAGATATTACTAAAGGACTTTGGAGTGTCCTAAGAAAATAAATAGCAGCGACTGGGGCGAGGTGGCTGAGATTTATCTATTTTCGCAAGGGACAAGAGCAAAACAAGGAATTGGGAAAAACAGTTACTACTAGTGGTCTCGGACTGAGAGGAGAGTACTGCAGTACTCTTATCATCATTTAAAACGTTTTATGAAGTCCCTCCCAGCTGGAAAAAACAATTCTTAAATCATTTTTTTGAATGACCCATTTCCTTCAGTACAGCATGCGCATGCCTTGTATGCCAAGAAATCGACTATTTTGCTTTGTGATTGCTTTTGTTAGGGGAAAAACGACATGAAAGGTGATCCACTAACTTGTTCTGAAACCTAGTGGGATTAGTTACGATTGGTAAAATACAAAGTCGTGATTTTAAGATTAAGGTCAATTTATTGTTCTCAACAATTCTTTCTTTAATATTTATTGGGACTGATATTATCACCTTGGACTGGGTGATCATATGGGTTGAATATACTTGATTGATGTAACGGAAATTGTGTTCCTCCAAACGCCTTTTTTTTCGAAGTAGTGGGATTGATAACAATGTGATTCGAATCCTGCCAATCAAGCGTGTGATAGCATCTGTATTAGTCGCTGAAAAATGTGTCATGAAACAGACAATAGATTTTTTTTTTTTTTACTTGCAACTCTTGCAGCGTGATGGATGAACCAAACAAATCGCAACGCATTTTGTTGATTGTGTTATTAGTAAAAACTTTTTCCAACATTACTTTATTGTTACCAGTCATGAAAATGTGTTTGCAAATGCAAATAAATTAGGTGCCCTAAGAGGGCGGAATTGGTCACCAGTGATAGTTAAGAAATCTTATTCAAGTCACCTGTAACTAATGAAAAAAGATACTCACCTCTGATTAACTCACACGG